GTAGGGCCAAAAATGTGTACGAGTCACAGATGCACATTTTTGATATGAGAAAATGGTCAACAGTGACATGTTTTTACTAAGTCAAAAGGAATGACCAGTCATTGGATTTGATACTTATATAATTGATGCATAGAAAATAACCTTTATTTTGAATCCTTTAATTGTGTGTATGTCTGTGTGTGTGTAGAAAATTTCCAATATTACCACAGTAAACGACAACTCAGAATGAATCATTTCAATTGCATTCAAATGATGTTGCAAATTTGCACAAGTTTTCTTGACATTAAAAGATATGTGTTCATGATGCTTTTTAAGGTAGTGAACTTAAAAAGCAGGTAGGAGTAAGTCACGTGTCGTCCACACGTGTAACATAGCGAGAAGGAGCTAAAAGACAGCGCTGAGGGTGAGAGATAAAGGCTGGATGGAGACAAAGGTACCTGGCAAATGAGGACGGTTTCACAGGTGCACTCAGCAGAAAAGCAAGGCTCACGTGGAGTTAGTTCTTCCACAAGAGCCATGAGCTGCCTTGCGGGGCACAGCAGGCCTTAGGGTGGCTAGAAGGTGTACAGGTTGTCAAGATTTTAATCAAAACTGAAGTGTATCACTGACATATAAATGACAAACAATAGAGAAAAATGTACCATAATGCGTAGGGGTTGAGGTGGAAACTTTGGACTGAACCTCGACTTTCTGCAAACAGAATGAAAGCACCGTGCACTGAGCATTCTGAGCAGAGGAAAGGGACTCGGCAGGTGTGGACCAGGACGCTCTTAAGAACACTGGTCCATGAGCCCAAGAGAGGATGCTCACTGATCCCATGGATGGAGGAGGAAGGGAAGCAGGAAGCGGGGAAGGAAGAGCAGGAAGAGGAAGGTGAAGAGCTAGAGGTGGAGGAGGCGGAGGAGGGTCTGGTGCAGGAGAACAGCACAGAAACATGACTCGAATTGTTCCTGGCAGGTGCTTTCCCCGTGAGGACCTCAGGAGAGTTATAAGCCCTCAAAACAATCCCAGCTAACACTTACCTAACACTGGAAGCATATGCCAGGCACTGTTCTCATTTCTTTACAGGTAGTAACGCATTTAATCCTCATCTGGACTCTGTGTGGCAGATGCTGTGTGATTCCCATTCTACAGATGAGAAAGCGGAGGCACAGCGGGTCACGCAGCCCGCACGTGCTCAGCCAGGGCCCGAACCCAGGGAGCAGTGCCCGGCGACTGTGCGCCTCGTCTCTATTCTCTCCCACCTCTTGGAAAGGCAGTGTAAGTCATAAACGCCTGCATTCATGGTTGATATGATATCTCACACTTTCACCAATTAATCTTGGTCACCATTTTACTATTTTATGTTTCAGATAACCCATCTGGCACTGCACTAAGCTCCTGAGTTAAAGACCCTTTAAGTGCTGTTCATGGAGGTATTGGTCAGTCTGAGAACAACTTGCCCAGACTTAAGCAGGTCTCATAGAAGAGGTCGTGTATCACTGGAATTTCTTGCTTGTGTCAGGAAAGGCTGGCTTCTATCTGCATGTGATGGATGCTTTTTGAGGTAGTAAATGCTGTGTTCCTCCTTCCCCTGCTCGCCCACTCCTCTTCCTGGGGAGAGGCTCAGCCATTATTTGGCCCAACAAGGTATTGTCAGATGAGGACAGACAACGAAGCCACAATAGTTTTGCATCTCAGGCTAGAGGGCACAGATGCAGGTAAAAGATGGGATATTTTTGAAAAGGGATTAGAATAGGCAGAAACAATGTGCTTCTCTGCAGAGTTGATACAAAGCTTCAAAGCTGGGGAGAGAAAGATGGTGAAAGCAAGAGATTTCATTGCATTGTGCGGGCTGCCCCTGAACCCTGGAGTGCACCGGGACAGGTTCTCCTCTATGGGTGAGGGACTGACGATAAAATCCCCCTGGAAGACAGTCAAGCAGAGTGGACAGAAACTCTGTTGCTCTTCTTGGACTGTAGAAGTGGCTGGGCAAGCCTCAGGGATGGCTCCTGCACTATCCTGGGGGTAGGGGACACAGAGTAGGAATGACAACAGGGCTTGCTGGGAAGGAGGGGCTGAAGAGGGTTCCTGTAGCCCCAGTGTGGCAAGGGTAGCCCCTGAGGGCTTCCCTGATCTTGAATGGTGCGGTGTGTAAATCAGCTGAGGATGAAAGGCTGAGGACCCAGAGCTGCCGAGGGGTCACTTGGCCAGGAGGCAGGTGACACATCAGAATGGTGGGCATGGACGGTGGTTCTCTGGGTGAAGGAGAGGATGTGGCTGATCTCAGGGGAGCTCAAGAGGGAGGGTGGCTGGTGTGGGCCAGTAGAGCACCTCAGACTGGAGACGATCCAATCACCTATCACCACGTCTATGCTGAGAACCCAACAGGATGAAGAGACCTGTCCTACACAAGAAGCTGCATAGGACAGATGATTCCAGACTGAGAAATGGACACCCTATGCCCATCCCCAGTGCAGAGACATGCCTGTAAGACCCCCACATTTAGTATCAACTGCAGGGGCAGGAGAGGGTGGAGGCTGACCAACATAAGTGTGGCGGTGCTTTAAGCCTGAAGGGCCTGGGGAGTGGCTGAATTCGATTTTTACCTAGGGATGCCTAGATCATCAAGTGGGGTTTTTTTTTTTTTTTTTGCATCAGGCAAAATGAGGGCTCAGAGATGAACCTAAAGTGAATTATGCAAAACAAAGCTATGTGCATATGAATTTGTGTCCAATAAAGTTCCTTGTTGTATACATTGAGGGTTTGGTAATAAAAGTAAAGTCAATAACTTTTTAACCCTTTAAAACTAGGCTGCCTCATTCCAATGTGGACTCTCAGGGGCTTAACTTTTAAAAATCTCAGCCCAGCTATAAATGCAATTGATGGCTATAATTTTTCCAAACATTTCTCCCTTGCTGAAGCCGAGACAATTCTGTTGAGGCTGATTTACGTTCCTAAAAGGAGATTAACACTGTAATTAACTAGCTTTTCCTTCCTGAAATTGTAATAATTTGCTAAATAACTAAAGATAGTGTTCTCCTTTAAGCACTGAATATTCTCTTCTGAGGCTAAATCCATTACGGTGCTAAAATTCTGAATTTATTGATTAATTCTCCATATTTTAAAAGTACTCTTGCTTTAGAAGTATAGTCTGCAATTGAATGGTTTTCTGTTAAACAGCCATTTTCCTATTGACTTTCTTTATCAACTTTGACATTGGCCCACTTTTCTTTTGGTAAAGAAAAGCCTCATTTTAAAACCACCTTTCCAAACATAACTTAATCTTTCAGAAGCATTTTAGTATCTTGTGGTGTCACGGGGCCACCATGTGCTTAAAGTCCTACAGCTATAAAATGAGAAACAGATACAATGAATTTGGTACAGATCATACAAGATTCTGAAATCTGTTTCTGAATTTATTTCCAATACCACGGCATTTACCACGACATCTCATCTCATGATAAGAAGGCAAAAAGTACT